ACACATTCTACGAAAAGAGGGTTTTTACAAAATCACATAAGTGAGAGAAAACTCGCGGGGCGAGCGGACAGCAGGAGATCTTCAGAGGAAGAACCCCCCTCAAGCAAGTGTTTCGTCCCTAATTTCCTGACACTCTAAGGGGACCGGGCCACACTCAGATCATGACTCTTGAGTGTTCTGCTGTTTCCGTTTTTTGGTTTTCTGTTTTCTTTGCGCTGATCCTGGGACGAACTATCGAGGATTTGTGGTATTTCCGGGCTTTCAGTCCGTGCGTTTTCGTGCAGTGCCACGGAGACTCCAGCGAAAAAAAAAAGCAAATGTGAAGCTATACAAAAATCTACTACTACTATACTTTCCTATCTGCTGTCTGTTCTATTTGGCCCAGCTGTCGTTCCGTCTCGTCCACAGCCAACTAAAAATTAGTCACGATCAAAAACAAGTACTGGCCCAATATGAGACTAAAAGTGTCATTGGCTGAACTACCCTGAAAGCACATAAAGACATCACTGGCAGTGCTTGTGACATGTTTATGTTTTTTTAGACGGTAAAGTGCCCCATACACGCTCAAATTTGTTTGATGATTTGATCAAATAAGTTTGACACACATATTTTTGATAGGGTTTTGATCGCGCATGGGCGTGTTCGATGGTCAAAATAATTTGATCTCAAATATTTGATGGATCTGTTTTCAGTCGGTATTTTTTGTCAAACCGTCAATTTTATCGTGTGTGGGTTCATCGAACTTATTTGTGCAAACATTATTATTTTTCAGTTGTTGCCAAATAGAAAAGATCTACTTTTTAACATCATCATGGTGCCATCAAAGGATGAAAAAACCATTTTTGGAGCTGATTGGAGTGACCCAGAGTTTGCCGGAACTTTGGAAGTTAAAAGTAAAGAATATAGTGGCCGGGATTTTTAAAAAAGAAGCTGCCTATGACGCGCTGCCGCTCTGCTGCTGAAATAAAGGGAGTGGTATTCAGGTGCCCCATAAGAAGAAAGGAAAAAGAAAATTAACTCAATGCACGCGAGTTTTGGAAGGGAGTTGAAGAAACTGGATGATTCTCAAAAGTCTGGCGCCGGTTCAGGTATCTACGAGCCTTCATCAAATAATTTAGAATGGCCAAATTTTTGGCACTGCAAAAATCAATTCTGGCCCACTTTCTTTTCTTTTTTGTTTTTCTTCCCGAGGCTTAAGCAAGAGCCAACGCTGTTGGTCCGTCCATTACAAACTCTTGGCAAAAACTAATGTTTAACAAACAAATCTGAGCCTGTATGGGGCACTCTAGAACAATAATATTATGTTTATTCTGGCATGTACCATCTTGAACGTGAATAAACTTCACATCACACGTGAAGAACTTGCGTTAAACGAAAAGTAAAATCCACATACGAAATAAGCTTTTGGCCTAGCTGACATTTTTCACTCCATATTGTGCATTCTTTAAGCTCATAAAGGAGCAGGTGAAAATGTCTTTTCGAAAATTGCAGGCCTAAATGACTGCTCCAGTTCTTCTTTTTTATCAGTTTTTCTGTCTTCAGAGAAATAAATACATGTACAGGGTCACGTGTCATATCTCGATATGACGAGAAAAAATGTGCTGTTTTGAACATAAACAAGCTCGGCATTACAATAACAGAAACATCCACCGTGCAAATGAAAATCTAAACCTGGTTCTTTTTATGGCAATGGGGAGTGATGGAATACTGAAGTCACTTTTTTTAAAATACATTGACGTGTTTTATGTGATCACGATTTTTACGTGAAATAAGCTTATAAAGCATGGTAAGTTAATGACACAAACCAAAAGCATAATGAAAACAACAAAATCTATTCCTGCAGATGACATGATATAGAACAAGGAATGCATGGCATAAATGTGGTGGAAACACCGATTCACCAATTCAAAAAGAAGTGTGTTTTCAAACTTTGGTCTTTAACTTGCAGATTGTTGGGCAAATTTCTTGCTATTTAGGTCAAGATATAACAGTCAGATGCTTTAAAACTCCAGTCACCAAAAATTGAAAAGGGCAGTGAACCAGAAAGGCATAAATTAGGTTTACTTCTTATATTTCAAAGAAAAATAAACGTAGAGCAAGGTTAATAAATGAGAACCTGCATGGAATGCTACCAAAACAGAACCAAAACAAAAATACTTTTTGATCCTTTGTACCCAAAAGACTCAGGAAGTACATTTGCCCGCTTATTATGGCATTATCAATTGCTGCACGTATGCTCACAAAGGACACAATAAACATAATAAAATACAAATCGATACTCTCTCTCTCTCTCTCTCTCTCTCTCTCTTTCTCTCTCTCTCTCTCTCTCTCTCTCTCT